TAAGATGCAGGAGACTAATACACAAAATCCTCTGGCTGCAACACTAGAGATTTAACAATTACTCCAACCAATTAAGAGAGTATTTAAATTCATTTCCAACAGTCCAAATAATATAGGATTAAAAAAAGATGCCTTGTTAATCCTTGGAGCTGGAAGCACTAGTTTAACAATTGTATGAAAATAAACTTCAATAATTTGTAACGAAAGGCAATTCCTTTGATGCTTCACAGCCAGCAATCCCCCCTCTCCATTAGCTCATAACTGAAAATCACAGAAAACACTGGATCGTACTGGTCAATATTTTTAACTTAGGTGAAGAAACCAATAGAGGAACCAATAGTCTGCTGAAGATGACCAAGTACTAGATTCTCCCTTGAGGAGATAAATAATTAAAAAAAAAAAAAAAGGTTGAGTTTTACATTTGCTGCATAATGGATCTGTGCCTAATTCTCACAGCAGCTGTAGTGGTGTTAGCAGAAAGAGAACACCACTTCATACATTATTTTCTTGAAGAATATTAATACTATCAAGGAAGCCAAGCACTAGAGGTAAGTTTCCAGAAAGCATTAATTTCTTTCAGTTAAATCCCTACATGAAAAAGCTATAAAAAGTCTGCAGTAACAAAGTCACTCTAAGAGCTGACAAATTCTGAAAGCTTACATTTGCTTAGCAAGCAAAGGATGAGCATAGTGGATGGAGCAATAAGCATACAGGATTTTCTCATTTCACAACAAATGTTTTTACTTGATCAGTACATGCCATTTTAAAAAATAGGCTTCAAAAACTTATAGATTGTTCTCTGTGTAGGTGTTACTTCCTTCAAAGCAGCTATGGACATTTGGCAGCTCTTTGAAGCTCCACAGAAAATCTTTCAGGTTTCAGCGCTCTATCACCAGGATGAGATGGGGCAGATTCTTGGACAACTACGATCAGCAGCTAGAACTCCTGACAGCTTCGGGATATGTACATAGTAGGAACATTCCCTACAACCTTTTAAGGAAGCCAACATGCAACCGTGCAATCACCTTTGAGGTGGTGTGTGCTACTTTTTCCCTGAACATTTCACAATTTTGTCAAATCTTCTCCCTGAAAGGACACTGCTCACTGACAAACTCATGTTTTGCAGTGCAGTTAAGTAGGAACCAGAAAAAACTAAGGATATTCTAATTCTCCATGCAAGCTTTTTACCACAAAGTATATTGTTGTATTCCTTCCTCCCTTGCTGTATGTAAACCAGCAGCAAGCCAGCTTGTCAATTAAAGAGCATCTCTGACAATCATCAGCAATACACTCATTTGCACAACATTTAAAAAGACACTGACTTGGAAAAGCTTAAATCTCTAAGATGTTTCTCAACCAAGTCCAGGTCCATGCCTGCCGTTGAGCTAGAGATAGTGAAAGGTCGCCTGTGATCCATTCTGACAAATACAACCTGCTTCTAACAAGATTTCAGCGTGAAACAGGCAGCCTAAAAAAGGTGTGGAAAATACAACAAGAATTTACAAATTCATTTGGACAACTCTTTAAAGGAAAATACACAGAAGTAAAATTGTAATGGCCACAGTATTTTCACTCCTACTGACACTGAAAGGCTGTGATAAATACTTGATACTGACTTCAGACATCATCCCAGATTGACTTTGGAAGAAGTACAAACATTTATCCTACAGTGATAAAACAGGGAACAACCAAGGCTCCTTATTCCCAGCTTTACAAGAGTATCATAAGTACAGAAATTCCCAAGGTTGGTTTTTATTCTTGTATTACAGGATTAAAACTCGTATTACAAGTCTTAAAACCAGAATGGAAAGCAGTCATAAAAATATTGGAGGAAATCCAGTTTGAAGAACTACAAGCATCGAACCACCTGGATTCAGCTGTAATTGCAATCAAGCTCTGCAAATATTCATGTTCAAAAATACTCATTATGAAAAGCACATCCTGTAAGGAACTTTGAGCGTTAACTGCTTACCTCATTAAAGCATAATTTATTCTATTGATGTTGAAGGTAAACTCCTCAAAACAACTGCACAGACATAAATGGAGACTGAATATTTGAGGGTAAGTCCTCAAACAGAAAACTGTCTCCAGACAGGTCACCTGATTTTTCCATGTCTTACTTTGAAATAATACAAGAAAAGTTGTTAGACATCAATATCCAAAAGTAAGGCAAGTCAATCTCCTAGTAGTAACTGACCTACTTCCTAAATTCTAATTTAACATGGGTAGTAGGTTCTGCAGCTGAGTTAATCTTCTCTAGCAAATGAAATAACAGCTCTGCCTAGAAGTTTTAGATAGTAAAAACTCAAGCCAAAAAAACCCACAAACACAAACACCCCACCTTACATACTCACCCATGGATTAAAATACAAATTATTTTGCCAAGTGTTTTCTTTGTGCCAGACTTTTTGAATATAGCCATAGAACTAGAAGCTACCTTCACTGCTCACACTCATTTTGTGTGCAATAAAAAAAAGAAAAAAGTTGACTTACATCAGCTTTACTCCATTTCAGGCCCTACAGTGCACAAATGGTAAAATATCAACACATTAAGGCATCCAGTTGCCAGATACAAACCACATTTACCCATTTTTACCACTAAAATATTCTGAAAATTAAAACAATGGCTTTCTGAGAAGTGAAACATGTGGGAATGATCACTACTAATAACCAACTGGGCACACAATCAACTTCATGCCTATAAGAATTAAGTACAGTTGGATTTGCTGCATTCAAAAATCAAGTTATGGCTCCTATGCTTCTTGCTAAATTCTACACACTGTTCTGAGATGTCTAAACTTCTACTTCAAAAAAGTTTTTATAGTTGTAGTAATCACTAACAAGAAGATTAGCACTTAACAAAATCAAAGCTATCTCCCCATTCTACTTTTCTCACCCTGCTTATCTTATCAGTGTTTGAGAAATACTGTTGCAATTTAGATACTTCCAACCACAAAGCATAGAGCAAGAAATGCTGAACAATACTATGTTCAGTGAAAACAATGAAGTTACTCAATTAAAATAAGCTAGTCAGCAAAGGCTAGATTAGAAAAGAAGTGAAGAAGCGGAAAGTATTTCACTGAAATGTAAGTATCTACCTACATTTAAAACTGTGATCTTGAGAAACCCTTGCTCAACTGCCTTGCCACAGGCACTTCCCTTGCTTGAACTGAAAAGTTCTTAAGTTGTCTAGAGCTGCACCTTTGAACACGCCCAGAGGCATTTGAGTCCTGACAGAAATGAGACATTCAGCATCTAGAGCATAATCAAGTGCGAACGGTAAAGAGAAACCAGGTATTCTCCTGCCCTGGACAACTCGACAGTTAGTTTTTAACTAAAGTAACTATAAGCATGAAAGGAAGTTTCCAATCACTGATATTCTCTCCACTCCTATGCACAAAAGTTATCTCGGGAAGAAACCAAAACACAACAAATACACATAATAGTCAGATCTCCTATGTGCCAGTGAAGAGGATCACTCTTTCCTGTATAACTCCCAAGTGATTCCAGCTGTCATCCTGAAAGAATAAGACTGAGGTTCAAACCTTACTGTTTGAGAACCCACATAATTCAAGTGTCTCTGGAAAGCACCGTAATTTCCAGGTAAGTTATCCAGTAAGATTCACCTAGTTTTCTTCCCCTCCCAGAAGTGCTGATTCACCAGTTCAGAGCTCAAGACTAATCTAGAACATGGCCACAGAGATTTGGGGGTCAGAGTCACCTGCTCCAGAGACTGTCCGTTTTAACTCACTATCTATTTTCATTTAAGAATAAATAGCTATTTAAAAGGAAGATGGAACTTCCTCGGTTCTCAATCAGAATAGAGCACTTACCTTCAAGAGACAATTCTAAAAGCAAAATTGCTTCTTACAGTTCTGATGAGCTCTGAGGTTTTTACAGTAGCCCCTGTTGTCAGTACTTTCACCTAACCCTTGTAAGATCATTAGAAGCTGCACGTTAAGTTCACCAACCTTAGGTGGCTTCCTGCTAAGTGCATGCACTGGTTTGGATCCTGCTCTGAACTAGCTCTCCCCAGGCAAAGTCTTAGACACTTACTTCTCAGGTTATTCAAATTAGACCTAATAAAAGATACACGAATTTAAATTCAATATCCATCTCATAGCACTGCAGACAACTTATAGTTATCTGTTTCTGATTTAACAAATTTATCAAGTATATAATCTATACTTACACAAAACACATAATGGATGTGAGGAATTCTGTTGGAATTTCACTTCTGCATTACCTAAGCTTCACTTTAGACAGAATCTTCCACTAAAATGTTCTATAAGTAGGCAATATATGCATTAGTACCACATCTATCTTTCCTTTTAAAGGAATATACCATAAAATATTAAGAAAAACTAAATTCAATTTTCAGTGAAATTATAATACTGCTGATTAAATTAGGCAAACAGTAAAAGCTGAAAAGTATCAGTCAAGCACTTCAGCCAAGAAAAGTACAGCATGGGTTTCTGTGACTGTGGTAGCACATCTGAATGTCCACTTCGAGCAAAGCACTGATACAGAACACATGATACGAACACCAAAGCTGTCCCCAACTAAAATATTTTATTTAGCTGCACCTCTAAGCAGTCAAGTGTTGTGTTAACACTGCGCGGTAATCCATAACTCACTACCAATCTCTCGATGACTTCACATATAGAATGACTTTAAGTATAATTGACAATACTTTAAGTATCACATATTGTTGAGATGCCTTCACATTAGTCATTTATTATCAAATTTTGAATCCCTAACAATTAATCCTTCCATACTGTACACTGACATACATACCATGAAAAAGCCGAGGACCCTCAGGTAATAGATCATATCACTGAATGCAACTGCAGATTTTTAAGGTGTCAACCCAAAACACGTTCATCCTGTTCCAGGTTAAATACACTGACAGGTGCAAGAGGCGTGAACTTTAGAAGTCATTAATCTCATGGAAATATTCCCTAGTATACCAGTTAAAAAAATCACTAGAACACTTTGGATTATTGTGGATTCACGTTCTTACTCATCTTCTCAGTGTGGCTCAGCAGCTTCAACAACGCAGATGGATTATATGGGAAAAGATTTCTTCTCTGCAGCCTAGAAATAGCTTCTTGCAGTTCTTCCAAACATTTTGTTGATTTGTAAAGCATTATTCTTTGGGGAATGACATTATCCAAAGATGCCACAGAAGTCAAACAGGATGAGGTATTAGATCCCTTCTGCTTCAGAGGCAACACTTCAGACTTGAGTGTATTCTGTTCATCATCCATGTAGCTGCAACCACTTTCCCTTATCCTCATCTCACCCTCATTATTTAAAGGCACCTGTTTCGTGTTTACCAAGCACTCTTTTCCATCTGATTCTGATTCAGAGTCTTCTGAGCTGTCATAATTAACAAGGCTTTGACGACAACCCAGCAGGGATGTACTATCAGTGCATATCAATGAGTTAGACTGGTTAGACTCTGCAATTTCATTATCACCTTGCTCTCTTGTAAACACAAAGTAATTGTGAGAAGCAGCCAAAGATATCAGAGTCTGTGGTTCTGGTTCACAACAAGCATTTTGCAAACTCTCAGTCACACAGATTTGTTTTTCTTGATGGGGTGGCTTGACAGAAGAAACTGATTGGAAAGTGCCAGGTTTGGTATCAAAATGGTTACAGACATCTACAAACTGACGCCAGTCTCTTCTAAGAAGCTTTAAGTACCTTACCAAGTACTCCAGAAAGCAAGTTTCTGATGAAATCAAAAAATCTAGAAGTACTGTAGAATCAAATGCTACTTTTTCTAGAAAAAACAAAAAGATACAGTGAGGATTATATCCATTTGCATGCGTAAGGAAGTTCCAGGTTTCTGTCTCTTTTGGGCTTAAATTATCACCAGCATCTTGCCGTAACCTGAAAAGTAAGCAATGAAATGGATTAAACTCAATGGAAGTTCACAGGTTTTTTTAAAAAAAAACAAGTTATGTCCAGCAAATGGTATTCTTGCTTTTTTTATTTTGTCAAAAAGTTAAAACCAAAAAATAAGTTCTTAAATTAGAAAGAATGAAGGCAGGTGGGGCTAGGAGGTAGGACAGTTTAGGAAGCCAAAGTACTTAAAGGAGGCCTTCCTAAACAGCACCTCTCCTTAGGAAACATTCTGGAATAAACAAAGTTACTCACAATACATGAATTGTTACTTTAATATTTTTGTAAACCTGAACATAGACTAACTTTCAGGATGCTAAGCACATTGTAAAAGAGTGGCCTATTTTTATTTAAGTGTCCAAGAAGAAGTGTGCGTACCTAAAATACTATTTGCAATATTTTCACCTTTGTAGCTTGAAGGATCTTCTATAAATTAGGATAATATCTTGCATGGCAATTTAAATAACAATGAAGCAGCAAATGTCCAGGACAAATTAATGAACACATTTCAGTAGTTTTCAGTAGTTAGCAATAGCAGGTTTTATCAACTAGCTAGAATTAACACAGGTCCACTCCTTAGAGGGCTACTTTGCCAGAAGTCCCTGAATTCTTGAAGTTTAATTATCATATCCCACTCTTGTTAAACTCTGTGTTGAAAGAAAACAGCCTTGCCTTTTATCTGTGTCTAACCACTATTCTAGATTGTGAAGTCAATTATTCTGAATTACAGGATATGATAAAGAATTTAACAGGAAGCTGTTGCACAACTCTCATTTCAATCCAAAAAAACACTTAATCAAATTATCACCAAAGTTAACTGCTCTCAAATCATCACCAAAATTAACTGCTCTTATACCACACATTATTACATTGTCCTGAGGTTTCAGGTTTTTTTAATTATTAAAAAATACTTTTTCTTTATAAAAAAGTAATCAATGGAAACGTTATGTATATCACAATAACCTCACTAAATTACAATTCTTCAAATTTCTGTTAGATGAAGTGTACACTAACCTATCAAATTTTAAATAAATGAGTAATAAAGCTTTAGCAGCTTCCCACATATCATCATCTTGCTCTATGAAAGTCAAGGAGAGCCATTCACAATGATGTACAACTGGGTGAGACTGTGGGGAAGACTTCACATGACTCCTCCAGAACGTCAACAGCTGGGACATGGAACTCTGAAAGTCTCCTGAGAAAAAGAAGTAACCATGAATTTTGCTATGCTTTTTTTGTTACTAAACAACATACACTTATTATTTTTTAAATTAACAGTGCATAACAGTTCATTAATACATTTATCATTCCTTAGTTCAACTGATTTAACACAGCATCAAATATTATAAATTAGGTCTTGCTTCTGGGTGCCAAGGAAATAAAGAAATATTTTGCAGAAAACCATAAGCAGTTATATAACCTTAAATTCAATGTGAATGATCACTCTATTAAACTCTAAACATACTGATGTTTAGATGCCAATGTTACAATTTAAGTAACTTGGAGAAAATTAATTTACTTATTAGGTACCGTCCCCTCCAAGACAGGTAAAACTTAAGGACACAATTTATTCATCTAACAGCATTCTTCATTTCCTTGGAGTTCAAGGAAGAATAATCAGAGGTGACCTAGAAAGTTTTGGGTACAACAGGGTACATCCTCTCACACCTAAGCTTGCAGACTAATGAACAAGATAACACCTCCAAAAATTTGCATGTATCAGGAAACCTACAAAAATGTGACTATACCTACACAGCTGGGATTTATACTTTCCTTATCTCCTCAATGAGCTAGCTTCATTGGTGTCCATCACAAACTGAATAAAGGTGAATTATCATCAAGTCAATACCACAGATGTAATGATCTGATATGAGCACTTTGCTGAGATTTCATCTCAGGTAGTTCTTCCCATATGAAATAATAATACAACTGTAAAATTCTGATAGGACTGAAGCAACACCCCTCCCAGTGTGATTCACTGTAGAATCTAACTGCAGTGATCTATAGTTAATGGAAATAAATTGTAATTTCTACAGTAAAACAAAGTATGAAACTTGCAGTATAGCCATATTCTCGATAAAATGTATGTTTTCAAGTACATATAGGCTTGGGATAAAGGTACCTCCACAAGATGGTCTAAAATCCTTGCTGGAAGGATTAATGTAAGCAGCGGTTTTCCCACAAATCTTAATTTCCCCCTTCCCTCTAAACACTGCACTCCTGGATGGGAAAAGAACCTCCAAATTTAGGCCATTTTAGGGCAGTAGATTACTCATAAAAATAACTTTGTATTCATCTGACACAAAGAAAAAAATCTTTCCCTTAAGTCAAGAAACTTACCTCTTCGACACTAAGGACATGCTGTAGTATGGTACTATGTAGCAGCTTTTCATGCAATACAGCACACATTCAACATTTAGAAAACAGGAAAAAAAAATAGTGACATACATCTTTACCCCAAAGGTGCTCCTTAAGTAAGAACTCTACTGCTCCTGGAAGTACAATATGGCTTGAAGAGCACAGTTGCATCATTTATATAAACAGCGATTACTGTTTTTGAAAAAGTTTCCTGAAACATGGGAATCAACTTTATTTAAAAACCATCATTATGTGATTTTCCTTAATATTTGAATTAAGATTTGCTTTTCCTCTTACCAAATTATCTTTGTTATTAATAGTTACTATTCAGACTGAAATTCTTCCCTATAAATCAAAGCTATCTGGAAATTACTGTCAACTGAAATGGATTAAAAGTTAAGCACTGTAATTTACGTTAATAAAGAAAGATAACATAAAACAGCTTCCCGGAAGGGAAGTTAACATAGTAAATCATTTTGGTTCTTGTTTTAATCACTTTATTTAATGTCACTAAAATAGAAGCACCATTCCTTTCAACTTGAAACTCCTCTTGACAGTTGGGGTATTTGAATCTAATTAAAGAACTCATTTTTGTGTTATGAGTCTGGAAAAGAAAGGAGAATTTTTCTCTCTGAGAAAGAATTTTCATAGAGACATCTAAAATAGATTTAGCCCACATTTATTCTATTCCCTTGTTCTTAATCTCGGTCTCTATACATTTTTCAGAAGGTGGACCATAAGTAAAATATCTCTACAAATACTTAAAAAACTCTAAGAACACAACTGGCATCACAAATATAACATCTTCCAAAAGTAAAAATAAAGTAAAATAGTATTTACATCTGAAATTTGTGTTAAAATGCTTCAATACATTTAAAATACCGTAAAATTTAATTCTTGTTTAAGAAATAGACATTCTTTTTTAGCCACATCACCAACTGTGTGACAATAAGGAACACCTATTCTCACTTGTATTTGATTAGCAACACTGCTTCAGAACTGCCTTTCCATTGTTGCCATGAAGCCTGTAATCCAGGGACAGCAAGCTGCTTTGATCAGAGAATTTGCATATCCACGTTCACACAGCTTAGCATCAGAAGATGCGCATCATCTGCTCCTCAGAGGTAAAAAGGCAAGTGGGAAGATGGGATTCCAGGAGTGTCTCTCAGCCAAGAAGCCTCACCCTGCCACTTCATTATAGCATGGGAGAAGACTACTAAACAGCTACCAGCATGACACAGCAATGCGTCCTCTCCTGTCAGGAATGCAGGTTACACAGCATTCCCCTGCCATCCCACTGCCTGTCTTGTGGCACAGCCCTAGCACAGGAGCCAGGTCTGCTCTTCTACTAATTAATTCATCTATTCATTAGAACAAACATATTCAAGTAAGCAGGTATGAAAAGTATGCCTAACACCTACTAATTCAACAAACTAGACCTATAAGTCAGGGTGAAGAACACAACCACTATACTCTGCTAGCTCCCACAATTTTCCTGTCTTTCACTTTACATCTTTTCTACCACTGTGGGGTTCTGCCCTATTACATTATTTATCCAACACCAATGCCTAGTACCTTCAAACAAGTTAATGGTACTTACAGGTCTACCTCCACATTAGAGAATGGAAAAGAGGGTTACCTGCTGTTCCTTTTAGTTCTCCACCCTGAATAGAGAAGATGTGTGCACTATGGGCTCTCTTCCCACTGGAGAAGAGCCTGGTGTTCCCAAGGGGCTCAACTATTTCAAATATTAACATACACTCTTAACAGAAAAAGTTTTCAATCCCAAATGCGGCTGTTTCAAGCCCCCCACATTGCAGGGCTAAGGCTGGGATAAAATGCAAGGAGACAACTAATTAGGCAGAACACAGTGATAGCAGGTTTCATGGGTAGGTCTTCTCTTTCCTCCCTCCCACCACCAATTCAGCTGAATTCTATTTACAGTCCTAATGAGCTGTGACTACAAAATCTGAAAGCTTTAAAACTCTTGCTGCTTAATGAACAAAACTAAAAGAGACTATTACCTTTGATTTCAGCTTCTGTAGCAGAGTTCTGAAACTTGAATTCCAGTGCTTTAAGCACAACCAAACTTAAGGCTCTGAGAACCGTTTGGTCAGAACCACCTTGAGCATCACCTCCAGGAGGAGTTTCACTGCCTCCAAAGTAGCTGGCTTTTTCACTGAGCGGGATCTGATTCAGCCAAGTCAAACTCATAACTTGCAGAACAGCATTATTCAGTGCAAGCATATCCTCATATAAAGATGGGTTTTGTAAGAACAGTGATCCACTTTTAGCATCTTCTCTAGTCTTGTGAAGGCCACATTTTTTAAGGAGCATAATGAACTTCTTCTTGATTAAATAGTGAACTGGCGAGCTAATGATGTTCAGGACATAAGAAACTTTCAAAAACAATACTCTCTGGCATCTGAGCGGTAGTTCTAATTCAATTCTGGAAGCCAAAAGTGCTTCAAGCAGATCTATAAAACTCATCAAATTGTTTGTAGCTTCAGAATAAGGTGAAGTATAGTGGTGACTGTCAAAATGATGGAACAGAATGGAATCATAAAATCCTTCAAGCACAGGATCAAGAGGAGCCAACAGCATCTTCAAAATACCTACAGCAACAAGAACAATGTTACGGAGTTGGAGTGTAACAGTCAAGCTAAATCATCAAATAAGCAGAAAACGGGTGATTGTGACTATTCTCAGTTTTTAAGCATGTTTAAACCAATACATTTTAAGAAGTACTTTGTCAGCCTCTTTATAAGGAAGAAAATATGTGTTCTTTAGACAAGCCTCTCTAGACAAGATTACAAGTAACATTCCTCCCCCTGGTGGGCACTCGTGTATCGATACCATCATAACATCGCCACAGTACCTGCTTTGGGTAAAACTTTATCTTTCAGTATGTCCTTGATAATTGTTGTAAGAATCCACAGACATTCTGCTACCCGGGTATTCACAGGGAATCCTGAAAGAGTCTTCAAACTAAAGGTGAGCCAGGGGACATTTAATACATTCTAAAAGAATGAGTTCAAAAAATAATCACATATGCTTTATAATTGCTATGCAAATTAAATTAAATCATAATACAATGATTTAAAATTGCACATTAAAAAGATTCAAATGTAAGCATAGGCAAAACACAGGTAGAAACAATCTATCTCTCCAGTGCCTTTTAAATACGGGGGCCTCTACACACACGAAATCACTGATGCACGCAATAGAAATTCTGTGGTTTTCTTCAGAAAGGGAAAATCAAACCTCCTCATGTCATGTGACCTACCCAAAATCAGATAATACTGTAGACAGATCATATCTGAATTCACAGTTCCCAGACAACTTTTCAAGAGATATTACAAATCTATTTCCGAGAGAAATCTATGTTCAGAGATGCTGATATATATACACAGAAAGTAAAAAACAAAAAAAAAAAACCCAAAAAAAACCAAACCACACTGCAAGTAACTGGACATTCAAACAATAGAGAAAAGCATTTGGTTAACATTCAAGAGGTTATTACTTAATTTTATTGTTTTTACTTGATATCTGTTAGGAGATTCAGTCAATGATAGCCTAGATTACTGTTTTTCTGAAATGCCTGTATTGCAACCTCAAAGAGAATATTGCTTGTTCTACCTTAAAATAGTTTAATAAAATTCCAGATTTTTATATATAAAGACATTCCACGCATTACAAACTTCTGTTACACACCTGATCTCCTTTCTTTCTACACTCCATGCTCCTCCTAACACACTTGAAACACTCTCTTGGAATATTTATTACATATCTTTCGTATCAATTTTTTTCCAACCCAAATCCCCTCAAGACATGCTTTATGGTAGAACTATCATATAGCGGTTATCTTGTATAAACTTCACCTTGTTCCTCATACTGGAGCTAAACACACTTCAACAAAACTGTGTGGCATTTTGAGGGGACTAAGTGTCTGCACGCTGAACACCGGCAGACTGCAGATGTGCCTTTCAGAAAGCCAGAGTAGACACACAGGCAGCAGGTGGAGGAAAGGAGCAGTTCTGATGTTGCTCTGTGGGTCTACTTATGAAAAGAGCCTCTTCAGAAGTACTTTTAGATTTTACAGTGGTCATATAGTGACTGCTTTCGTGCCATATAACACCATAAAAACTTGGGTCTAGAGTCAAATGGAACACTTGAAGGCACCTATTCACTAAGTTGGTTTTTCAGTCTGTGAAAAGTTATGCCATACTCACCTCTTCCTTCAGCTGGAAATACACAAGAGATGCTAAACTTTTTGAAGCCATGTGAGATAACAGCTGATCGTGACTTCTGAGCAGACAAATCTGCAGACGTGTAGAAAGAAAAAGTATCTAAAGCATGTTCGCTTTTTATTTCTCCTTTCACAAAAGTCTTTCAAAGGTTTATAAAAGCTTACCATTTTTGAGTCAATTTTTGCCTCCTTCAGAAGAAGGACAAAGATTTCACAATACTTCTGTCTCGTATTGAATTCAACTTCCTGAGACTCTGCTTTAGCAACCATCATCTGGATCAAGGTTAACTGAAGCAGCATCACTTCTCGTGGAGAGAACGAGGAGTTCATGTTTGCAAAGCTATCCGATACATCATCTGTTGTAGGGACAACCACATCTGACATATCAGTGTCCTGATGGCTCCTGATACCACTATCAGTAGATGGCAGACGCAGCCGATTACATGATTCATCTCTTTCTGGTGACTGCTCGACACACAGGTTAAGTAAAGAGGTATAATGATGGCTTTCCTTTGCTAGTGGAATGGCTACCAGTACGTCCTTATACATCTGCTGCAGAAGAGAGATCTTCATTATGAGAACATTCAATATTCCAGAAAATGCTGTATGTCTTCACTGATTATCCACGGTCACTGCAAATCAGCTTTGAAGTTATTTTCATCCAGTAAGAGAAACAGAAGCACTATTAGGCATCTCTCTTCTAAGTTACCTAGAAATAAATATTGTGCTATTACTGAACTTAACAGATAACTAGAAAGACGCAAAAGAACACCACACATTTTTAGAGTTAATACTACCATTATTAAACTTATTTTGAAAATACAAATTCACCATTTAAAAACAGCAAGAGTGACAGTTGCACAAAACTGTCCCAGTAAGACATGAAAATGATACAAGAATTGCCATGCTGTGAAGAAGTTCACAGTTCCAATCCTATACTACAGATACCAACATTAATTTGCTGGAAATAAAAAAAAACCGACGACTTTTACAAGGGACTACTCCTGAAGGATACAAGAACTTCTATCAAATCTGTCTCTACATTGCTAAAACTACTAATTTTGCAACAGATTCCTCCAAAAACAGGCACAAACTTTCAACCACAAATTTGCAGCTGAACGGGCAATGTTTATTGCTCCTCTAAGGCTGCATATGGCAACACTTCTAAAAAAAAGCAGAAACCAAAGGACAAGTCTTGTCTCCTGCTGCATAAAGGCTCAAGGCGAGCAGCACGAATATACAGAAGGGAAGAACTGGGCTCTTAATTTAGCAGGGAGGACCAAAGAACTCCTTTACATCTACAAATGCAGAACTCTGGTTCTGAGCACTACATCTTGAAACCCAGAAGGGGTTTTGAGGTAATGCAAAGGATCAACAATGCACAGGTCTGGTCTCAAAGGCCCAGTGGCTGAGAAGTTTCAAAATAAAACAAAGTGTAAAACTTATTAAGAGACAATAAAAATACTTAACCATACTCAGGAAAGGTATTAAAAATATATATGTTTGTCACCAAGTCAGTGGAACTGTCTTTCACTCACAACACTGGAACATTCCCTATAGCTTAAAACGAGATATTAAGAATTCAAATCTCTCTTTAAAAAGTGTGAGCACGTAAGCACCCACAATTTTCTTATGTAAAGGTCTAGACAGATATTGTAACTCCCCAGAAAACAAAAAGGATACACTTAAGAACATCAGGGTTTCTTTTTCACCTACATTAAGAGTGATGCTAGTCTGTAATATTTCTCTGTTTAGGACAGTTTTAACATGCTCTCTAACCAGAACTCTTTTAATTTAAAGGTAATGAGCTTGGTTGGATCTTTTATCTACTGTGAAGTTAGGAGTAGGGCTTATGTTATTTAGAGGAATTTTCTTTTTGGATCCCTGTCTAAGTCTGGCATAATCAACAAGATAAACTTCCAGGTAGACTCCTGAAGCCAGCTGTCTGTAGTTAGCTTTTATTTAAATGTTACATGTCCCCTTTCTTACCAACAGAAGAAAACAGCTCAGTCTCCCAATGGGTAAGAAATTCTAAAGATCTTCCCATCTATGCATCAATTACACCTGCATTTATCATCACACCAAATATTTTAAATTATTTATTGCTTTTCACCAGAATATTAGAAAACAAACTATAAAATTCAGTATATGAGGCATTTTTATTTTAGTTTATAATCTTCAGAAGATTTAGAAACATGATCAAACATTGAAAACTATACCTTCATTTTTTACCATTTGATGTTTTAACTGCAACTGCAGTATGCATTGACAAGATGGTTTCCCAAAGCTACAATTAGGGACAGACCAAGATCTGCTACCCAGACTCCTCACTTCTTCCACCATTGGGCAGTATTTCCTTCAGAAGAGAACCTAATCAGAGAATAAGAAGTTGCCCGCAGGGAGAGATCTACAATTCACTCTGGTGTGGTATTTTTAAAGACACACTCAGCAATGGCTGACCTGACAGCTCCAAAACATTATAGTAGGTTCCCCACCTAACCTGCACCAAGAACCCTTCCCCCATCCTTTCTCATATTCCCTATTTTTGACGTTAAGAATAAATCTGATACTTTTAGACAATAAATTCCTTCTTTGTTTGCAGAATCTCTTTGGAATTCTACTTGAGGTGGAAATTTATGACCTGAAGCCTCATAAAATTTCTTCATAAATCACTCTGAATATTTTATACAGCTATTTTTCCTATCTTTGAGTTTTATTTCTTCTTAAATGAATACCTAATAAAGTAAAATTATCTCAACACATTTACTTTTGTGTTCAAGATCATCTTGAATCATCATCCCACACGGTAAATGAACAGATCTCTCATGTACAAATCCACACGACACAGCAAGGTTGTTAAGGCAGAAGAGACTTAGAACTCCTCTAGGACATGCACTGTGAGACTTTACCTTCACCACATGATAATGGTTGTGCTTTCCTTGACCCTGCCACAATCTGTTTATATTATACCATTAATTTGGAGAACACTTTACAAAGACATCTATAAGATACGTCTCACTCACACAGTTCATGAATAGAAGTCATTAAAAGAAATCACATGCAAGGGGCTTATTTTGAAGAAGTTTACTTCAAAGAGGGGGAAAACACCAGATAATGGCTAAATTTGTTCAGACATAGTAAGAGAGCACAGTGAAAAGCTCAAAGCTGAAGAGTAAAGAAAAACAATCGTATTCACACACAAGAAATGACAAACCCCAACCCTCACTTGTATTATTTATTTGAGTTACTCACCACAGTGTCTAAAAACCAATTAAGGCAACACCTCACAGTGCCAGACTACTGTGTAAACAGGAAACAGTTCTAAAAACCTTAGATGTGGACTGATCAGGCAAAAGACAGAAAGGAAAACTACAGAAAAAAACCCCACATACTTCATTATACATTATTTTCATGACTACTTAATCTAGGCTTTAAAATCAAAACAAAAGTCATGTGGAGCTGCAAACAGAATAAGAGAAGAAACTTGATGGAAAAGGAAACGAAAAACTGGAGATGAAAGCTCAGATGGCAGCTGAAGCCTGTAAGGTTTGAGGACCGTCATAAACCAGGCGAGTGAAGTTTAAGTGACTGCAAATGCCCCCAGAATATCCTAAATCAGTTATAAACTATGTATATTTCTACAATGTGAGATACTTAATTTAGCACAAAATCATAGAAAACATTGATTTGACTGGGTTGGTAATATATTTTGCCTTTTTTTTTTTTTACTAACAAAAATGGCTTCTCATGACACACAATGTCTCTCAGATATTAGTGAAGAGGCATGATTACAGAAAGCTATCATCAAGTCCCTATATTAGTCTTTCCCTGTTATATACGCTATTAAATGTTAATTGCATGAGTAGCAATGGGGAGAAAACAAACTATAAAAACTCCCCTATTTTAATGAAAAAAATAAACCAGATAAACCAAAATAAAACCATGATTTTTGCGTATGAGTCTGGAGGATCTGGAGCTGTTTACAATGCAAGGGGTGAATCATTTAAGAAATCAAATATACGCTGGATGACTTGTACCTGCAAAGACTTCACAAGCTCATCTCTCAATAAAGAATATCCTTCCGCTCAGTGCTGAAATACCGTAAACACCTCTAAAATAACGTCATTTTGTTCCAGAGGCTGCAAATAACCTCTGCTGCGAGGTGCTCAATCCCTGTTAACTTCGACACCTAAGCACGCCAGATGCTTTGTAAATATCATTTAAAAATATTTTTAGCCACTAGAGACAGGACTAGACAGACCCGATCCGACCTCACTGGCCCCTTGCAGTACCTCTCCCACCCGGGTTAGTGATAAGAAGACCTCACTAAAAATGACCCTCCAGCCTGCCAGGGAACAGGGCCGAGTGTAACCACCGCCCCAAGGAGCACTCAGCGGGACCGGGAGGAAG